TGGGGCAGAGAACCCTTCTGCTTGCCCTTTCAGCTCCATGTAAACCAGGGTCAAAGAGACTGCCTATAAGTGATGTTCCAGTGCTCACAAATACCTGAAGAAGTCTGAAAGGAAGACTGATATGGGGAAACATGCTTTTGAATGCATTTGAAATTAAGTGAATCATTGTGTTTGACTCCAGAATATCAGTACTTTAAAATGGGAAGTTCCAAAATAGAGAGGGTGCTTTAGTATATGGCTGTGCTACATCGCTTCAGTTGTGTCCAACTCTTTGCAACCCCATGGACTGTAGCTGCCAGGCTTATCTGTCCATGTAATTCTGCAGGCAAGAATACTGGAGTAGGTTGCCATTTCTTTCTCCAGGGAATCTTCCCAATCCAGGGATTGAACCCAAGTCCCTTATGTCTCCTGCATTGGCAGGTGGGTTCTTTACCACTAGCACCACCTGGGAAGTCGCGTTTTAGTACATAATTAGTTGTAAAAAATGGAATCAACTTAATTGCCTAACAGGAAAGGCTCTATAAGTCATTCATATCACATTCATCGCCCAAAGACCCAGGTATTCTAGTAGGGACTCTCATGTAGCAGGTGTTTTCAGTTAAAATGGTTGTAATTCAGCCAAGACATGGGAGCAGAACTTTCTGCCATCAGAAAGCCTGGAGCCATGATCTGATTCTACCATTATAGTTTTTCAGTGTTGTATATTGCTAAAAAAAAAAAAAAAATGCTAACCACCATCTGAGCCTTCAGCAAGTTATAGTCTTAACATCAGAGATCACAGATCACCATAACAAATAGTGCTGTATTTTTTTGTATTAAGCATTTCACGTATATACACTTGTGATTCAACTCCACATAGTGATGCAGGTTAAAGACTTAAGTAAAATAACCCTTTTTCTGTCATATCTTCCAGCATAACTTACTGTCTCCATCAGGAACAACTCTTTGTTCTCAGCCCAAATCTTAATAAAAATGCATATTATATTGTAATGTGGCTTTAGAAAATATTTTTCAGTAAGTGTTTTCTTATGGTATTTATTCTGCAAATTTAAATATTCACATGCCATACATGTTGGAGTTATTTTCACTTTAGTAAACATAGAGGTGATTTTCCTTTTTACATCCTCATTGGATTATTCTCTTCATGAAGACACAAGGGTTTCACATTTGTTACTGTTAATAAAAGATTTCACAGTGGCTGCTTTTGAGCGGGCCAGCTTCAGTACAGATGCCTAAGGATTTGTGCAGATTGGGCAGCTTAAGCATATTGTTGTTGTAGTTGTATAGTCCCTAAGTTGTGTTCAACTCTTTTGCGATTCCGTGGATTGTAGCCTGCCAGGCTCCTCTATCCATGGGATTCTCCAGGCAGGAATACTGGAGTGGGTTGCCATTCCCTTCACCAGAGCTTAAGCATGATTACTGCATTAATGGTGGTGTTTCTCAGGAAGAACAGAAGTTGCAAGTACTAAGTAAATATTTTAAATCAACCATCTTAAACATTCTTAGAGAGCTACGGGGAGCCATGGACAAAGAACTAAAAGAAAGTGGGAGAACTGTGTTTAAACAAATAGAAAATATTAATAAAGGGTCTTCCCTGGTTGTCCAGTCGTTAAGACTCTGCACCTCCTTGTAGGGGGCAGAGGTTCAGTCCCTGAATGGGGAAGTAAAATTTAAGATCCCACATACCACAAGATGCAGGCCAAAAAAAAAGTTGAAAATAGGTATTCACATACATACTTGTACCTGGAAGTTCCAGCAGAACTGTTAAAAGTAAGAAAGAAGTGGTAACAAACTAAATGGCCATCAGGGGATGAGTGGATACATAAAATGTGTTGTAGTCATAGAATTAAATATTATTCAGCCCTGAAAAAGGAATACTTTAGGAGTGTAGTACTGATGCCATATCATGGATAAACTGAAAAAACCATTGTAAGTGGAAGAAGCCACACAGAAAAGCTCACATTTCATACTGTTGCATTTATATGAAAATATCACAAGTAGGTAAATGCATAATGACAGTAAGCATTGTGGTATACAGGGATGGGGGGCAAAGAGGAACGGGAAGAGATTGTTAAATGGGTACATTTCTTTTAACAATGATAAAGTGTTTAGGCAAGTGTTTGTTCAACATTGTGAGGGTACTAAATGCCACTCACTGAATGGTACCTTAAAATACATGTTTTATATGTAAAATAATTCATGTTACATGTATCACATGAATTTCACCTCAGTTGAAAAAAATTTGAGAAAAATAACTTGCTCCAAATTATCTTATGAATCGGTCAGGACATTTGCTCCAGCCAAGTCAATCCTTACACACGTTTGTTTCTGTAATTTTGTGTCAGACTCGGAGCTTGCTCCTTGTCCACTTGGTGAAATGTGCTTTCCTTTCAGGGACTATTTACATTCAGGGATGTGGCCATCGAATTTTCTCAGGAGGAGTGGGAATGCCTGGCCCCTTTTCAGAGGGCCTTGTATAGGGACGTGATGCTGGATACCTACAGGAACCTGGTCTCCCTGGGTGAGGATAACTTCTCTCCGGAAGTTGGTAACTAGTTCTGTGGATCTTTGAGTTTTCCCTTCTGAGTCTCAAACTTGGGACACCCTGGCATGCTTGTGAAAGTTTCAAATCCCTGTTCTAAAGACAGTGATTGAAGCTGTTTGGATTCAGAATGAAAAGGCTTCATGACATGTCTTATCACTCCATAACTTCTCATTTCTTCAGAAGTTGGGCATTCATGCTTGATCAGTGGTGGTTGCAGAATATTAATAGTCAGAAAGCCTTGCAGCACATTTTTTAAAAACATGTCACTCTGTGCTTCCACCCTTGTATTTTTGATTCAGTAGCTCTTAAAAGGTAATTAGGTGATCTGCATGCCGTGCTGTGCTGTGCCCAGTGGCTCAGTTGTGTCTGACTCTTTGCAACCCCATGGGATTTTCCAGGCAAGGATACTGAAGTGGGTTGCCATCCCCTCCTCCAGGGGATCTCCCCAATCCAGGGATCGAACCCTGGTCTCCCACAATGCAGGCAGATTCTTTACCATCTGAGCCACCAGGGAAGCCCATGAATACCGGAGTGGGTAGCCTATCCTTTCTGCAGTGGATTTTCCTGATTCTACTTAATCTAAAACTTCAGGAGGCAAAGTCAGTTGACTAATTTTTATGATACATTTCTAGACCCATCTATAATTTTCTTAGCTGAACAAAGCACTGGGCATGTGTTCTGTAATAGCTAGCATGTCATGTCCCATTTTACTTTATGAATTGAAATCTCTTCTAAGCTGAATGTTATTTTCATCTTAGAGCAAGGGAAAGAGCCCTGGACTTTGGAAGGCAAAGTGAAAATAGGGGAAAATCAGACAAATAGGAATAATTGAGATGTGAATACAGATCAGAGCTCAAGTGGGCACAGAGTAAACTGCTCCATTAAATATTGCTTGGGAAATTCTCCTTAAATGGGAATTACCTGTAGGAAAATAACAGTTTGTTTGTTATCAGATCTCAAAGGAATCCATCCCATACTCTCAAACTTGTTACTTTCTCGTTCAAATATGTAAAAGTTTAAACTCCATTCTACTGTGATGCTGTGGCTCATTCAGAGCTGAGGAAGGGCTTTGTTGTGACCTACAACATTCTATTTTCTGACACCGCTGACCATTTTGGTGCTTTGGTTTGAGAGGGACTGAGATGGCTCTCTCAGGAGTCATCTTTCCCCTTGATCTCTCTTGGTTTTCAGTTAATACGTATCAAGTTCTCTGTTGGCCTGACCCTAGAACTATTTTATTCATTCCCTTTCACATTTTATATCCTTGAGAGAACTTCTCAGGGGATAGACAAGCTTCAGTAATTCTCAAGATATATTTAAATTTTCCTATAATGTATTCCTTCTGGAATATATATCCTTTCCTCTGTTTTTACGGAAGAATCCTTTAGAATGCCAGAAACTGTTATTTGGTATAATTGTGGTTATTTATTAACTTAACCTGCTAGATTTATCATGGGTTGAGTGCATGCATGCCTGCTAAGTTGCATCAGTTGTGTCTGACTTTTTGCAACTCAATGCACTATAGCCCACCGGGCTCCTCCGCCCATGGGATTCTCCAGGCAAGCATACTGGAGTGAGTTGACAAGCCCTCCTTCAGGGGATCTTCCTGACCCAGTGATCAAACCCACATCACTTATGTCTCCTGCATTGGCAGCTGGGTTTTTTTACCACTAGCACCACCTGGGAAACCCATTGTGAAATCTAGACTTAAAAATTTTTTTCTTATATTGCCACATGTTATTAAACACATTTTTTGTATAATTATGTAATTCAATATCTTTATTTTCCAGATGATCTTATAGGAATCCTTTTTGCTGGATTTGCAATTAACAAATTATCACCAAGAGAGAACACTAATGTAGGAGAATTATATGGAAATGAAAACCGTGGCATCAAGGATTTTGACCTCGAGGAAGTATGTGAAAATATGCAGGAGAGTGAGAGTGAGTGGGGATGTGATGCAAGAAATGACAAAGACTTGCTTTTGACCCATAACAAAAATCTCAGTCAGAGAGAAGATCAGTATAATAAATCCTTAATTAATTTTCCTCAGAGTGTTTCTGTAAGAAGTAATACATATGAATATTTCATGCATGACAAGTCATTCCTAAGAAGTTGGTTAACAATGAAAAATAACATGAACATTGCTAGAAACAAAGATATAAAGTGTTTAGACAATAGAACTGGAGCAAGGCTGCAGGCACAGGTGGCTGAACTGCAGAGATTTACAACTGAGGAGAAAATGTATAGAGGCACTCAAGTTGAGAAGTCAGTCAGCAATGGTTCCTCAGTTTCCCCACTTCATAGAATTCCTCTTACTGTGGAAACTACCATGTTACCCACACAACACAGGAGAACACACACTGAAGAAAAATCTTACAACTGTAATGACTGTGGGAAGGCTTTTAGCAAAAGCTCAAACCTCAGAAATCACAGGAGAATTCACTCTGGACAGAAACCTTACAAATGTAATGTGTGTGGCAAAGCCTTTAACCAGGGTTCTAATCTCACTACACATCAGAGAGTGCACACAGGAGAGAAACCATATAAATGTGATGTCTGTGGCAAGGTCTTCAGTAGAAACTCACACCTTGAAAATCATCAGAGGATGCACACTGGAGAGAAACCTTACAAATGTAATGAATGTGGTAAGGCGTTTATCCAGCGTTCACTCCTTTGGAGTCATGAGAAAATGCACAGTGGTGAGAAACCTTACAAATGTAATGAATGTGGCAAAGCATTTGCTGAGCGGTCAAGCCTTAACAAACACAAGAAAATCCATACTGGAGAGAAACCGTACAAGTGTACTGTGTGTGGCAAAGCCTTTACCATGAGATCAAATCTTACTCAACACGAGACAATCCATACTGGAGAGAAACCTTACAAATGTAGTGAGTGTGGCAGAGCTTTTACCCAATTTTCACGCCTTAGTCGACATCAGAAAATGCACACTGGAGAGAAACCACACAAGTGTAATGTGTGTGGTAAGGCTTTTATTGAACTTTCACAACTTTGGGGTCATGAGAGAATTCATACTGGAGAGAAACCACACAAGTGTAATGTGTGTGGCAAGGGATTTACCCAACGTTCAGGCCGTTTGGCACATCAGAGAATTCATACAGGAGAAAAATCTTACAAATGTAAAGACTGTGATAAGGCCTTTATCCAACGTTCCCAACTTTGGGGTCACGAGAGAACTCACACTGGAGAGAAACCTTACAAATGTAATGAGTGTGGCAAAGCTTTCACAATGCGTTCATACCTTACTCAACATAAAACCATCCATACTGGAGAGAAACCTTACAAATGTCATGAATGTGGCAGAGCTTATACCCAATTTGCAAGCCTCAGTAGGCATCAAAAAATGCATACTGAAAACAGACATAAATCCAACACATGTGGCAGTGCTTTTATTCAGAACTTGAGCTTTGGGGATCATCTGACAATTCATAGTAGAAAGAAACCTTAAAATGTAATGCCTGACACAAAACTTGTGCAAGTATTCAAGCCCTACTCAGGTTGAGAGACTCCATCATGGAGGAGGAGACATACAGATGGCCAGGAGGTACATGATATGATGCACAGCATCACCAATCATCAGGGAAATTCAAGTCAAAACCACAATGAGATACCACCTCACACCTGTCAGAATGGACTGTCATCGAAAGGACAAGTCACAGTGTTGGTGAAGATGAAAAAAGGGAACCTCAAGCACTTTTGGTAGGATTGTAAATTGGTAGCTACTATGGCAAACTATGGCCACTCCTCTAAAAATAGAGCTGCCATATAATCCAGCAATTGCACATCTAGCTATTTACCTAGAGAAAACAAAAATGCTCATTCAGAAAATATATGCACTTTGTTGTTCATTGTACCATTATTTATAATAGCCAAGGTAGGGGACTTCCCTGGTGGTCTAGTGGCTTAGAATCCGCAATTCCATTGCAGGAGGTATGGGTTCAATCCCTGGTCAGGGAGGTAATCCCACATGCCTTGAGGCCAAAAGAGCAAAACATAAAACAGAAAGAATATTGTAACAAATTCAATAAAGACTTTAAAAATGGTCATATTAAAAAAAAATTTTTTTTAAACAAAATAGCCAAGGTAAGAAAGCTACCAAAAGTCCACCAATAGGTAAATCAATAAAATAGATAAAGGAAAAATATATATATACATACACACAGCCATATATATACACACATACAGTGGAATATTCGTTGTGGAAAAAAGCTAAAATCTTGCCATTTCCAGTACCATACACAACTCTACAGGGTATTTGGCTGGGTGCAATAAGTCAGAATGACACAGCACATGATTTCACTTAAATGTGGAATTTAGAAAACAAAAGGAAAATAGTCTCATACATGGAACAAATATATGGTTGCCAGAAGGGCAGGTGTGTGTGAAGTGAAAGAAAGTAAAAAAGTGAAAGTGAAGTTGCTCAGTCGTGTCCAACTCTTTGTAACCCCATGGACTGTAGCATGGCAGGCTCCTCCATCCATGGAATTTTCCAGGCAAGGGTACTGGAGTGGGTTGCCATTTCCTCTTCCAGGGGATCTTCCCCACCCAGGGATGGAACCCCAGTCTCCACTTCAGGCAGACTCTTTACCATCTGAGTCACCAGGGAAGCCCTTGTGTGGGAAGCAGGAGAGGTTTAAGAGGTACAGGTCTACGGTTACATAATGAAGTGTCGTGTGTAACATACAAAATAAGGAGTCTAGTCAGTGATAGTAACTCTGTACAGGGACAGATGTCTACTAGACTTACTGGGGTGATTATTTCATCCTGTATGGAGTAGTTAAGTAGTTATGTAGTACACCTGAAACATAATATTGTATTATCCACTGTGTGCATGCATGCTAAGTCAATTCAGGGATTGCATATGTGGGAGAAAAAATTAGGGGTGGAACAATGGTCTCCCTGTTTTTTGAAGGGGAATAGCTACTGTATATATAAAATATTCAAAATTAGTCTCATTTTTGGAAACCAAAGGGACAGTGTTACAGAGGACAGTCATCAAAAGAATCAGAGTAGAGTATCTGTGAGGGCTGCAGATTTGGCCTCTAGAATTGCATTTTGATACCATTTTATTTATTAGGATGTATCATACTTCTCATATTCAACTAAGTAAAGTGTAATCTTCTTTTTATAGTGTTAGTTGCTCAGTTGTGTCTGATTCTTTGTGACCCCATGGACCGTAGCCCACCAGGTTCCTCTGTCCATGGGATTTTCCAGGCAAGAATATTGGAGGGGGTAAGCCATTCCCTTCTACAGGGGATCTTCCCAACCCAGGGATTGAACCCAGGTCTCATGCAGTGCAAGGCAGATTCTTTACCATCTGAGCCAGTAGGGAGACCCAATCTTTTTTGTAATCCTTAGTGAATCGTGTGCCTTGTATTAATGCAAGCATATCCCACTGCATTGGGGGCTTCATAATAATGACCCTTAAGTATCTATCATTATGTTCTCTAGGTTGAATGGCATCTGTGACAATTTCTTCTCAAATTAGATTTAAACATAGTGTTTGAAATAGATATATATTCATAATTTACATTGGGGTTACAAACTCCAGATTATTTCTGGAGCTACAAGCTACAGATTTTTTCTAGCTATAATGAAAATATTGTAACTACAATTTCAGACTCAGCCCCCTGAAATCTGCCTTCTCGGTTGTAAGTATACACCATATGATTATATTCCTGCATACCTTTTTGTGTGTTTGCACTTGAAGCTTTACATCAAGTGACAAGATATGGTGAACATATAAAAATTACTAGGAGATGAAATTTCAGAAATACAGATAAAATAGCAATCTCTTGTGTATGCTTGGAGTTCATATTTTAATAAAATTCATATATTAAGGCAAGACAAGAAAAAAACATACATTTCTGTTTGCTTGTGCTTCCTCCCTCCCGAATGTGCAGTGTGCATCTGCGTTACACATAAACCACAGCTCCTCAGAGGTGGGAGTGCCTCGACCGTAAAGGTCAACTTACTTTTTTATTTCTGACACTAGTGTTCTAGGATCTTCCCTAGTGGTCCAGTGGCTAAGACTTTGAACTCCCAATACAGGGGGTCTGGGTTTGATCCCTGGTCAGGGAACTAGATCCCCCATACTGCAACTAAGACCTGGCCAAATAAATATTAATTAGATAATTTTTAAAAAGAGTAGTGTTCTTCTCAACTCTGTGAGAGGTCATGGTGACTTACTGCTTGCTTTGTACGTGGTTACCTGGACTGTATGTCCTTGGTGAAGTTTATGAAAGATGATCAGCATGTCATTTTGATGAACTATCCTTTATCTTGAAAATGTATATACAACTGTGTCTTCGACTTCTAATAGGCAGAACAGTTCTCAGAGCTTTATGAGAGTCTCCCAAGTTATAATTCTCAGCTTGGCTCAAATAAAATTCCCTTTTTCTTTCTTGATTGTTAATGGAATTTTTGTTGATACTTTCTTGTAGTCAGTAGGCTATCAGGGACACCTACCAGAGGACCCTGGAGTCCATTCCAAGCCCAAGCTTGGTACCACCGTGGATCCTTTGAGCTCTGCCCACTTCTTGGTGTTTCTTGGGTACTTTAGTGATTTTTCCTGATATTCAGACATCAGTGCTTTAAATGATGTCCTGAGTTTTATTCTAGCTGCTTTTTCTCAGGACTTGGAGTCCTTGGAGGGAGTATGGTTTAACATTCCCTAGGCAGGGGACTTCCCTGGTGTCCCAGTGGTTAATAATCTGCCTTGCAATTCAGGGGATGCAGGTTCGATACCTGGTCAGGGAACTAAGGTCTCACATGCCATGGAGCAACTAAGCCTGAACACTGCAGCTACTGAGCCTGCACACTCTGGAGCCCATGTGCCACGATGAAAGATCTTGCATGATGCAATGAAAATCCCACATGCCACAACTAAGACCCAATGCAGCCAAATAAATAAATGTTTAAAAAAAAAATTCCCTAGGCAGGAACCTTGAGGGAACTTTGTAATGGTCTGGTCTTTTTTTTTTTTTTAATTTGGCTTAAATCGAAAAGATCATATATGATCTGAACAAACTGTTTGATAGTAAAATGAGATACTGATCCTGGGTTTACTGAAATAAAAGTAGTATCTTTGAGATGTTTGTGTTACCTCTGTCACAGTATTTGCCCACGAGAAAATTAACCGTACAAACAAACTAGCATGACAATTTATCACAAATGTTCAGAATGTTACGTTGTATGGTATGGGAGTAAAGAATTGGATGCTGTTACCAAAAGGTATGCGTGGGGGGTCTGGCAGCTTCTGCTGGAAAGCCAGTAAACGGGCCAGGTTGGGGAAAAGGAAAGTTAATTTCAGATGCTGGCAGCTGTGGGGGAGGGTGGTGGACATCTGTCCAAAGGCTGACTCCTCACCCTGCCCCTGACAAGCAGGGGGTGAGAGCTTTTATAGACAGAGTGTGTGGGGGGAGGCAGATTACATGCAGAAGTAGCACAGTCATCTCTAACAGTCATCTTCATATTAGTCATCACTGGTCTGACTAGCAGTAGTATCTTGGTAGTTTTAGGTACAGTTAATATTTAGTTCTGGGGTGCACTTGTTTCCTTTTCTTTGCAGCCAATTCTTGGAATTGTGGCAGCTCAAGTCCTGGGTACAGTCTGCTCCTCATGTGGTTACCTTCTCCACCTGGGGTTTTGGTATCTGTAGGACAGCTCACAGGATATGGCTCAGAACATTACCTACCGCCCTTAGGAAAGAACTAAAGGTCCTTGACTAGGCTTAATGACGACATTATTACTATTTAGCCTCTTTCCATTGTTTAAGCATTTCTCAGTTTTCTGATTAAACTTATTCTTTGACTAAAGTGTTCCACAGGCAAAAGGCAGGCAGAAGACTTGGTGGGGAGGTGGGGTAGGGCGGGGGCAAGGATCACAAAGTCCAGCTCCATTTCAGTGCCACAAATATAATTTGAGGTTTACCTGATGACAACCCACTAATCTGTAAACCTATGCATTGCAGCAGCATTCTTCTTTGTAGTGATAAAATGCATTCACTCATTCTATCAATGAGAAACAAGTCTAATCACTCATGATACAGCAGGGAATCAATGACCATCTTCAACTAGCTTATATTCTGTAAGGGAAGTCAGCAATAATAAAACAGGATGGTGATAAATACAATGAGGTGTGCATGTACTATTGTAGAGTGAGAGTCCTGATTTAAAGAGTGTGTTGAAAGAATGCCCTATGGAAAAAAA